TGCACGAGATTGCATAAGAGCATGAGTATATTGTTGCACTAGATTGCATACGAGTATGATTATATTGTTGCACTAGATTGCATAAGAGTATGATTATATTGTTTCACAAGATTGCATAAGAGTATGATTATATTGTTGCACTAGATTGCATAAGAAGCATGACCATAATGTTATACATGATTGTATGCGAATGAAGCATCATAAGAGAATTGTTTAAATGAGAAGCTTAACTTAAGGTATTCCTTTGAGCATGATTATTGTGATGTAGTAGAAGTTCTACTTAATAAGTTATGTGATAAGAGTGTGAAAGCATGTGAATACCTGTTATATGGTCTTTTAGCATGATCCTATCTGTAAGCATGAATTGCCCGATAAGCTATTTGAGAAGTCTATATGTTGATGAATCTACGTGATCAACCTTATACATATATAAGCATCCAAGCTGATAATATAGGGTGCAAGCATTTAGAAAGAATATGATAAATCTAAAGATGATTTGAGATTAGCTTATTGCTGTAAAGATATCAAATGTTTTCAAAGTATATGCTAGAATGCTTTACAGGGTTGAGTGTGGTTATACTTAGCTTCATGCTAACGGGTGTTTTTCCTGTTTGTCTATGTGTTGCTTGCAAAACCCCTTTCAGGTGGGCCCATCAGTGAGAAGAGATCGAGTTAGATTAGTCTCTTAGTCTGAGATGTCTAAACTCTAGTTTTATTTATGATGATGTTATGGATTAGAATTATGACTTCACGTTGGAGGATTATTGTAGACTGTGTTGGGGTGACGTTTTTCCCCCTTATCATTTCCAATCTTTATTCTTAGTACCCAGACTTAATCATATTTTGTAGTTTTACCCCTTTAGCCTGTGCAATCACCAAGAGTGGTGGTTGTGGCGGTGACACTCCCACTATTTATCTTATAGTTTTTCGCTGCTTAGTTTTTGATAATTACTGTTTAGAGATGTAATTAAGAGTTAGAAAAGTGGGGTGTTACACGGCCCCACTCGCCCGGCGCCGGCGACCGCACGCCGCCGCGCCCCCTGCGATGGGGGCGCTAGGCCCGCGCCCGGGCGCGCTACCGCCGGCTGGGGCAGGCACCCCAACCGGCGACTTCCCCAGGCTATGGGTGCTGGCTGGCCACCGCCCTCGTGGCCTCGCACAGGGGCGCTACGACCATGCCCAGCCGCGCATGGTGCGCTGGTCGCGCTAGCCGCGCCGGGCAAGGGCGCACTGCCCGTCGCCAGCAAGAGCCGCTGCCGGCGACGCTTCCCGACCTCCCATTCTCTAGCCCCCTTTCCGGTCCATGCTCTTCACCACGGCCCACCATGCATGCTTGTCCTCCCAGCCCAACAAGACTTGGGCCAACCTCCTTCTTTCACCACCCACACTTGGGCCAATACTTTCCCATATTAGATTTTAAAAAAAATGCGGTGGTAATTTCGTAATTATTATCAATTTTACTATGCAAATGTGAACACTAAAATCTGTAATTTTTAGACTTTTTCAGGTTTGCACATTTAGAATTAACGTTTTGCACATTTAGTGTTAACATTTTACATATTTAGTATTAAAAGTTTGTACCTTTAAAATGCGAAAGTACATTGAAATTAGGGTTTCAATTTTAATGACTAAATTTTTTATTTAATTTGGTCCAGTGGTTCACTTTTTATTAACATTTATGGTTTATATTTAAAATTTAGCCTTTTCGTTGATTTTATAGAATTTAACAGGTTTGCATATTTAGTTGTTAAAGATTACATATTTAAGTGTTAAACTTTGCACAGTGGAGTTGATGATAATTACGAAACTGCCACTGTATCTTTTTTTTTTTAATCTGATCAGATCCGTCGAACTTTTACAGATGTAAAGCTGATATTGGTTCTTATTTCTCTCTTATGGAAGTGTTCTCACAGGATCCAATTTTCGTTGTTGCTACATTCCAAATGAGTGTTCCTTTGTAGCTGCATTCCAGATGAGTATTCCGTTGTGGTTGCGTTCCCGATGAGTGTTCTGTTGTAGCTGGGCTCCGGATGAGTGTTCCTTTAGAACTTCACTCCGGATGAGTGTACCGTTGCAGTCGATCCTACAGTCAAAAATTTGGTCTGTTAGGATTTTTTTATTTTGTTCGTGACAAAGTAGCAGCAAAGTAACTACAAGGAAACTACATATCTACAAAAAAAGACAAACTGGCAAGCATCTTCTCTAAGTCACTAACCTCAACAAGGCTAAATGATCTTTTGTAGAAGCTCAATATTATCTTAAGAGAACCTTAAGCTTGAGGGACCTATTAGGACTCTGTATTCTAGGCATAGTAGTATTCATTCTCTCTCTCCATATATTATTAGGAATATTATCCATTTACCATTCCTATCATGACTGAGACTCTTTGTACCCTTATAAATACATCTCTTCATCATGTACTTTAAATCATCATGGACTAATCAATAATAAGATTATTCTCAAAACTATTGTTCTCATCCTAAATCTTTAGTGAGCATGGTGTTGAAAGCCAGGTATTATCCTAATAGTTGTTTTCTTTATGCTAATCTTGGCTATAATCCTAGCTATATTTGGTGCAGTATCCATGCTGGCCAAAGGATTCTGCGGGAAGGTGTCGTTCGGAGGATGGGATACAGTAAAGACGCCTCTGTTTGGAGGATGGTCGTGGCTAGTAGGTTAGGACCCATCCCTTCAGACTACATGCGTGGAAGAATTACGTGATGCCAAGGTATGTAACCTCCTAACCAGTGATGGTGCGCCGGATGTTGAGCTGATCCGTGACATCTTTACTGAGCATGATGTTGGCCGAATTTTGATACGCCTGTTTCACCACAACACTGTGATACCTGGTGTCGGAAAGGATATGAGGGGGCAGTACACGATGAGGCATGGTTATCAATTGCAAACTCAGGGGTCTTTATTACAGGAAACTAATCTTGAGTTTACTAAGTGGGCAAGATTGTGGAAAACTCCGATTTCGGCTAAAATTAAAAACTTTTTGTGGCAGTGTCTACGTAGTGTGCTCCCCGTGTGTAAGGTTTTAAGAGCCAAAGGTATTTGGGTTGGGGGCGGCTGTCCATTATGCAGCTCCAATGCGGAGACGATACTGCACCTCTTCTGCTAGTGTCGATTGGCTTGTCTACTTTGGGGGTGCTCCAGATGTGTTGCAATGGCTCCCTTTTGTGGTTTATATTGAAAAATGTTGCGTACCGAGAGACAAGATAACATCATGCTAATGGCACTGCTGGAAATTATTGAATTTTCGACCACCTGAAAGTGATCTTAAATCAAGTCGAAAGAAAAAAGTGGTCGAAAATAGCAACAAAGGTTTTTCCGGATACCAAAAGTGGTCGGGACAAGGCTTTCGACTTGATTTAAGATCACTTTTAGGTGCCAATCTGTGGGTGATTTGGTTGGTTCGCAATGAGGCAGTGTGGAACGGGAAATAGCCGACTGTGGAGGGTATGCAGAGGCAGGTTGATGGGTTGATCTCGGCGTGGAGAGAGGTGCGGCACTAGCGTCTCATTCAATGTAGCAAGGAGTTGGCAGTCCAATAGCTTGGTTACCACCGCCAGTTGGAGTTTTGAAATGCAATGTCGATGCGTCTTTGTCCGACAACGGTGTGTTCTTTGGGGCGGTGGTACAGGACTATGATGGTGCATTTATGGCTGCCTATAACAGCAAACTCTATTGTGACTAGGATCCTTACCTTGCGGAAGTTATGGCGGTCAAAGAAGCTCTTACTTGGATAAAAAATCGGACGTACTGAGAGTGCTTATGTTGTGGAGTCTGATTGTTTAAATTTTTGCATTGGTTTTAATTCTGTTACTCATGACTTATCGTATGTTGGCTTAATTGTTCAACAATGTCAGTTAATTGCTAGTGACAATGGCAACGTTTTGGTTCGCCATGTCAAAAAGGTCTACAAATCATGTCGCTCATGTGCTTGCACAGTACGGGTTGCTGATTCTTCCTCTATTCTTAGGGGGTGAAACTCTTCCCCCTGATTGTATTTCGAGTTTGATTTAATGCAAGTTTTCTTTGGTTTTCAAAAAATAAAAAATAAATAACAAAACAACTACAATTTTTGTGTGTGTGTGTGTGTTTTTTTTTTTTTTTAATATTAAGATAGTTATCTCTAAAATTTTAAAATTTAATCATATAATTTTATTTTTTATATCATATAGAAAATAACCACAAATTTTTGTATATTAAATTATTTGACTTTTTTTAAAAAAACTTTACTCAAAAAACAAAAAAAAATACTTTACTCAACTCGGTTTGTTGACTATTAATTGGCAACTATAATATCTAAATCATAATTTAGTGTACATGAAATTTTATATTGGAAAGTTTAGTTTGAAATTTTTTTTTTTTTTGAAAATTTAGTTTAATGAAACTAACATTTCGACACACATTATATATGCTAATCTACGTAGTAACAAACTCAATAAAAAATTTATCGCACTCAAATAGATAAACACAGAACTAGTTCTTGAACTATCTATCTAACAAAGTAAGCACAATTTAAGAATAGGCAACTAAACAAAGAGTAATAAATAAAACGCAAAGTTTGATAACGCAATTAGAGTATACATACTCCTACATCGGGAAGTAGGCATCCTTTAAAAAGACTGCCCAATTCTTCATTAACTTCAATAATGCGATTTTCCTAATTAGCGAGAAGTACAATAATGTGGACCAAAAGTGAACGTAATTAATAAAAGGACTTGAAGTAAACTATCACTTATAAATCTAAGACCAAAATGGAAATAAATCCAAATTCATACAATCTCATAATATGATCCAAATTATTATCACATATAGTCTTGGAGCATATGATTGTATAAATAAAGTAGCATATAAAAAAAATGCAACAATGGGCGACGTGACACGTGTTCTCTCAGTATTCCTTGCGGAGTTGCGAGGAGGAGCGGAGTAGCGGACAAAGTCTCCACACTTATTCTCGATTAATCACCACCGCTCTCTGTTGTTCATTATATTTTTCTCTCTCTCTCTCCCTCTCCTCCCCCCGCACTTTAGGAGAAATTTAGGAAGACGTACAAGTGTCAGTCTGCAACTCCATCTGCAGAGATTTCCAATTTCCATGGGAGAAGTTGAAGAAAGATTGTTGGATATCACAAGTGAGTTCTCCCCTTCTTTTTTTTTTTTTAAATAATTTATTTAATTTCTTCATATTTTCGGAAGAAATCCATGCCTTTATATAAATAAAAACAACTCAGAGAAAGACACACGTTAAGAATCTCCGCCGGCGATGGAGAACAACAGAACAGAGGTATTCTGGGAAGTTGAAATTAAAAGAGTCTAAATTACTACCGATCATATGACTTTTATGACAAGTTCGGGGATTTTAATGATGTTTTCAAGCACGATTTGAACTACATATATAGAATTGTGTTTTTTGCTTTTCTTATGCTAATCAATTACAACTAATTCTGCCATGTAATCTTTTTTGCCTCTGTTATGTTGTTTTTCTAAATTCATCAAATAATATTTGTAATTTAAATATATTATTTTATACAGTACTTAATTAACAATATTATATCAAGTAATGCAAATTGTGGTGCTAAAACTTTAATAAAATAATGGTTTAAAAAAAAAAAAAACTTATTTTTGAGTACATTCGCCCAACAATTTTTTTAGTAGATTCTGTTAAATTGTAATATCTGTTTAAATATATTTTCTCAATCTATTGAACCACAAAAATATATTTTATCAATCTATTGAACCACAAAAAATCAACACCCTAAGTTTGAACTCATGACCTTCCATTTGGTACAGTCACTTCATGCAACTTGATCACAAGGTCATTGGCTGCCCTGCGAACTAACTTCTTATTTTATTGATGGTTGATTGATGTTTATTTTAAGATAAGATGCGTTTCAAAAAAAAATTCATTTTTCGAGGCATCTTAGATTTGATAGTAGTATTCAGAGTTGGGTTACCATGAAAAAGACGTTACGTTGCATTGAATGTGGAAACATCCCTGGGCAGACAAAGCAATGAGGAAATGTCGTTGTAGGAGTTGTGTGGTAACTTACAAACTTGAAATTGATTAATGATTGGACTAGAAAATTGATAGGTGATGGATTCAACACATTCATATAGAGATAATAATTAATTAATGAATATAAAGTAAGTCTTACATATATTAAATGTCATGGATAGAATATGTCTCTTACAAGGAATAAGAGTAGAGCTTATTGAGTTGTGCATAGCATAGAAGTATTTTTGTACTAGTACATGTTTAGGGTTGCATATAAATATGATGCCTGTAATTCTAAATGTTTGATCATTACCATCACAATTAATAAAAGAATAGTTTGAAAGTCAGGCATACTGCCAAACAACTTTACTTTCTGCCATTGTTATTGTTTTCTTGTTCTAGTTAATCTCAACATGTTTGGTCTAAATAACGGTATTTGGACAGGTTGTGATGAGTCTGAGGAAGTCAAAGGAAACCAGGGTTCAAAATTGTGTGGCACTGGAAACAGTCACTGGAAATGGTGGCTGCAAGTAGCTTTCTTTACAATTTCTACTTTGGCAGGGATAGTAGCTTCAACTCTGCTTGGCAAGGTGTACTATGACCAAGGTGGCAAGAGCAAATGGCTTGTTGCAGCTCTGCAAACCGCCGGGTTTCCAATCCTCGTACCATTCCTAGTCATTTCATCGCCCAAAACCCCCGAACAAGAACCCAGAAACCCTCCATCTCTTGTTGTTCTTGCTTCAATTTACATTGTGCTTGGTGTTATTCTAGCTGCTACAGGGATTTTCTACTCGGTAGCCATAGAATACATCCCGGCCTCTACTTACACTCTTGTGAACTGCAGCCAGTTGGCGTTTAATGCCCTCTTTTCCTTCTTCCTCAATGCCCAGAAGTTCAGTCCTTGCATTATCAACTCCGTCGTGCTCCTCACCTTCTCCCCGATGCTCCTCATATTCGGGCAAGAGTCGGGTGAGAGCGAGGTGATGGGAAACGAGAACTACATACTAGGTATCCTGTTCACCCTCGCCGCCTCTGCCTTCCCCGCCCTGTTGTTGTCCCTAACACAGCTCGCGTTTGAGAAGGTCATCAGGAGCGAGAGCCTGAAGGATGTGATTGAGATGACGATTTTCCAGTCTCTGGTGGCCACTTTGGTGACCCTAGTAGGGCTAGTTGTCACCGGGGAGTGGACCACCCTGAGCCGGGAGATGTTGGATTATGAGCCCGGCGTGTTCTCTTATGTGATGGTCTTGGTTTGGACGGCCATATCGTGCCAATGTTACACGTTTGGTGCGGTTGCCTTGACGTTTAAGGTTTCTTCTTTGTTCTCCAATGTTGTTATAAGGTTAGGCACCCCAATTATCCCATTCCTCTCGGTCATATTTTTGGGTGAAGAGATGAGTGGTCTGAAAGTGATGGCTTTGTGGTTGGCTCTGTGGGGTTTTGCCTCCTACATATACCAGCATTACCTTGATGAAAAGAAAGCTAATAATAACAACAATGGTGTTGGTGATGAAGCTCAAGACTCCACTGAACAACTCAAGATAAGTGCATTTTAGTGATTGATTTGAGTTGTAAATTGAATAATTAAAAGTATACATATATTGGTAAGTGTGTAAAATACGGCAAATTGTGTGGACCACGGTCCAAAACGACGTCGTTGAATTTTATGAGTTAGAATAATGTACATTATAAGTTAAAATAATGTATATTATATGTTAGATTAATGTACTTTATATATTAGAATAATGTACATTATGTGTGAATAAAACTTCAATTCTGGGGTAAGATAATATACTTTATTAGTTAGCATAATGTACATTATGAGTTATAAAAATGTATGTCACAATGGATCGCATGAAAAATATAAAATTGTGCGGAATGACAGCCTTTTTGGATTATTGGTAAAATACATACCCTTTTAAATTAAGGGGTTTGTATATATATGAAAATTTAATGTCTTATTTTGTAGTAACATTTTATTTGTATCAAATTACACTTCACAAGCTTACTTTGGATTAACAGAAAAGTCTATAGTCACTATCGGAATGTACAAACCAATCTAAATTATTCATAATTGATCAGTTCAAATTAAGAAAATTAATAAGTAGTTTCAATTTGACTGTAGTTCAATTCATATAAAATAGACTATAGTAAAAAGTAACTATTTTACACATGTGTATAATTTAATTATCACTTTAAATTTTTAATTGAGACGAAACATATTCGATAGTTATTCTCAAACTTTTGCGTAAAATAACTATTTGCTACATTAAACTGGCAATAATTGAGATTTATATCATACCAATACCAACAATTTTTTTTTTTTTTTGAAAGTTACTGGTTCTATTACATTGTAGTATCTGTACATATACTTTCTCAACCTACTGAAACACAAAGAACCAATAACGCCTCCACTGAGGCTCGAACTCATAATCTTCCAAATGAAAGTCCAACCCGGATACCATTAGACCACATAGTCCTGATCAATACCAACAATTTATTTACAAATAAAATAACGATAAGTTAGGTCTAAGATTTAGTAGAAAGTTAGATGGGGACATTAAAAATTATTTTAAAAAGCCCATAGGCCATAGGTGAATCAGTGAATTATCCATTTATCCATCGAAAGGGCATTGAAAAAAGTAGCCATCCAGTGCTCGAGAGGGCAAGTTGTTTAAGAGCAATTATATGGTGGACCATGGTTCAAAAACAGACGAAGTTTCTTTAAGAAAAAAAACAGTTGCCGTTATAGTTTAACGGAGCTTGTATTTTTTGATGTGTTAATTACAAAATGAAACTATAGTGTATCTAAAATGAAACTGAAAAACAGTTCACATATTTGAGTGTATATTATCCAATGAAACTGTAGTTATATCGAAATCATAATGTAGTTGTGTTGTAATGAAACCATAGTGTATATAAAATGAAACTGAATAACAGTTCACATATTTGAATGTATATTATCCAATGAAACTGTAGTTATATCGAAATCATAATGTAGTTGTGTTGTAATGAAACCATAGTGTATATAAAATGAAACTGAATAACAGTTTCACATATTTGAGTGTATAACGTCGAATGAAACTGTAGTTATATCGAAATGAAACTAAATATGTTATATATACAAACTGAGTTGCTTTTTGCGCAACGACACGGAACAAATAGCGTTTCTTTCATTAAAAGAAACGATGTCTTTTTTATGCCTGGACCACAGTACACAAATTATGCTGTGCAACCGAATGCACCATGCGCATGGTGCATTCGATGCAAAACGACGTCGTTTTGGTTAAAAAACGTGCGTCCCACTTAAAGAAGAAATCAGGTTCGATTCTCGGTAATAGCATTTTTATATATCCATAAATTCATAACTATATATCCATAAATTCATAACTATACATCCACAAATTCATAACTATATATCCACAGTGAATGAATGAAGTAAAAGTCCACAATGAATGAACTAAATCCACAGTGAATGAATGAAGTAAATATCTACAATGAATGAAGTAAATATCTATAATGAATGAACTAAATATCCATAAATTCATAACTATATATCCAGAAATTCATAACTATATATCCACAGTGAATGAATGAACTAAATATCCACAATGAATGAACTAAATATCCATAAATTCACAACTATATATCCACAAATTCATAACTATATATCCAGAAATTCATAACCATATATCCACAATAATGCTATTGCAGAGAATCGAACCTGAATTTTTTTTTTTTAAAGTAGAATGCGCGTTTTTAGTCAAAACAACATCGTTTTACATCGTATGCACCATGCGCATGGTGCATTCAATTGCACAGCATAACTATTGACATTGTATCGCGGTCCACAGTATAATTTGCCGTTGCTTAATGCCCTTTCTTCATCAAAGGGCCCACGTCTGATTTTGGAAATTTTTTATCGCAAGCATGGGCCCAATGGGCATGGATGTGAAGAGGCCCACATTTTCGTTTTGTTTCTCTCCAGACTCCAGTTGTCCCAATCATAAGCAAGACTTTCCAGTCATGATTGTCAATTACGACAAATTTTACCGTGGACCATTGATAATTGGCATCAATGTAGCAGTGTGGATCATGAAGTTTGTATTGTGTGGACCAAGACTATGTGGTCTAATAGTATCCAGGTTGGACCAATACTATATTGTAATAAAGTCAGTAGTATTCAAAAAATTTGAAATTATATTTCAGTTTTATTTTGATAATATTGTTATATTTTTTAGTTTCCTTTTTCATCCACACTCATTTTATAATAGCAATACTAAAGTATAATTTTAATTTTACTATAATTTCATTTGATAATATACATTATAGATAGAACTCTAGTTTTTTTTTTCTTTTTTTTTTTTTTTCGCACATACTAGTTTAATCATAGTAATGTTGAAGTATTATTTTAATTGCACTTCAAGTCATTTGACAATATCTGTTATTATATAGTTCTGAATTTTAATTTCATTTTCCACGCACATTAGTTTCATTATAGCAATACTAAAGTATCATTATATTGTAATTATACTACAATTTTATTTGACGATAGTTAGCTCTGTTTTTAGTTTCATTTTTCACACACTAATTTTATTATAGTAACACTAAAATATAATTTTAATTCTACTACAGTTTCATTCGACGATCATGGTCCACACAACAAAAATACTTAATTTAAGTTCATAATTTTAAATTCTTATCAATTTTGATCCATCCAATCAAATAACAACGAAGTACTTAATTTGATGACTTTTGGTCCAGCATTTCAACAAAGAAATGTTTAGGTCATATTGAAGAGATGATGACTTTCAATTGTGTTAACAAAGTAAATTGTCATGTTAACAGATGAATACTTGGAAATGAAGGGTTCTCAAGAAGACTTGTTCATCAACAACTAACTGCAAATATATGTCGGAGCTGTTTGGTAAAATACTTAATTAACTAGTCAATTTTGACTTATTTAATCACTATTAACTGTTTGACTTGTTAAAAAAAATCAATAAAAGTGTTTGATTAATTATTTTTTTGTAACTTCAAAATGCCAAAATTTAAAAAGCTGTTCAAAACAACTTTTTCAATTAACTTTTTGAGATATGTCAAACAACTATCAACTAACAACTAATTTACTAAACGCCTTTCCACAATCAACTAATATTATCAATTAGTCATGCCTTTTAACATAATTTGCTAACAGTCATTTACCAAAAACAGTCATCGTCCTTGTAGTGCTCTGATTTTCATTAATTTTTACATGAGTTAATTCAACTGGAGGTCCCTTGTTATTGGTGGCAATTCCAAATTTAGTCGCAAACTATCGTTTTTGTCATTTTACATCCCAGACTATCATTTTTTGGACACTTTTAGTCATTCTCATGATTATTTTTTTCTATTTTTAGTAAGGACATTATTGTATCTTCATATTTTTCTTTTGTTATTTTTTTTTTTGGTTTCAACAAGTTTAATTATATTGGTTTAGGACTTTACTAAAAATTGGTTGAAAAATATGATTACTAAAAATTAAAGGTTACCTAAAGTTTTAAACCAATTAAACTGGTTGAAATCAGAAAAATAACAAAAGAAAAATATAAAGAGACAAAAATGCCCTTACTAAAAATAGAAAAAATCATGAGGACTAAAAGTACCCAAAAAACGATAGTTTGAGATGTAAAATGACAAAAACAATAATTTAGGACTAAATTTAAAATTGTCACCCAAAACAACGGACCTCCGGTGGAATTAATTCTTTTTACATATCTATTTCATATTTTAAAAATTGTTTTAGCTTCTAGGCTGGTATGAATTTGCATAGCCACTAAAGCTCTGTTATTGTGGAAAGGACATTGATTTTGACAGTTACAGTATTATTTATTTCAGTGCAACAGTAACAAGTTGGCACAAACTACCTAGGAGATGTCGCTTACTATTGGAAAAAAATAATAAAAATTGACATTTTTTAAAGTTTAAAACTCAATGCATTAAATCACCAATAAGACAGTTTACAAGAAAAGCTGGAGGGGCATCAAATCATTCCCCACAACCTGTCTCAGAATAGGTTTCCCTAGCTACAGTGTGGGCGGTGCCATTCGCAGATCGCTTAACAAACTTGAATTGGACATCCTCAATCATAGACGCCAATTCTTTAACATCATCAACAAGAAGATCGAAAGTAGAAATAAAAGAAGGACAAGTAAGAGAATAAAAAACAGTTTGTGAATCCATTTCGACATCGACACAGCCCTGTAAACGCGAAAAACTTGAATTGTATATATTCAAAATTCAAAGTATCGGTTACAAGTAGTATGTATCAATCAAGAAGGGGTACAATCTCTGTATATGAGAAGTCCTTTGATTCTCTACTAGAAGTATGCCTATTAGGTGTGTGCCAAATTCGGAGTACGCCGAATTGGAAGTGTGCCGAGTTCAGAGTATGCTGAACTTGAAGTAGTTCCTTGTTCCTTGTTGGAGGTATGCCGAGTTCAGAGTATGCTGAACTTGAAGTATGCCGAGTTCAAAGTATGTTGAACTGGAAGTATGCCGAGTTCGGGAGTATGCCGAACTGGAAGTATGCCGAGTTCGGGAGTATGCCGAACTTGAAGTATGCCGAGTTCGGGAGTATGCCGAACTGGAAGTAGTTCCTTCCTGAAAGGCCTCCGGAGTT